GATTTAGAGGCCATGATACGATACATAGCCAAAAAATCATGCCGTTTTAAACCAAAATTATCATCAAATTGCAACACGATTCGTGTATCTTTCAAATATCATGTCATAACCACTTGTTTTCTGCAGCATATCTGCACAGAATTCTACGTTCAACGCGTCAGTAAAAAGCTAAGTAAATGCAGATTCTTAAGAAAATTCTGATTTGGTGGTCAAGATGCACTACGTAGCTCAACTGCCCATTCACTGCGTAGTCTCCCGACATGTCGATGCCATTTTGAATTTCGCACATGAGATTGAAATCGTCGTCGGACGTTACTCTGGATCGAAAGCTCGCACATGCGCAACTCATGATACTAAGAGGGTGGGAGGTTTGAAAGCATTTCACATTTCCCTGATTTTTCTGGCCAAAAGGCTGACTGTTTAATTCCAGATGCACCTTTGATACGAAACAAAGAATTTGAGGATTTCCTGAAGATGTTTACGTTGTTGCGACCCACTTTGGCAAACATCATTTGAAAAATCTGATACATTTCCAAGATTTAAGTCATTATAAAGTTACACTTTGGTCGAAATACCATTTTTGGCATCTAATTTCAACATAAACACTTATGTCTTAAGTGTTTGACTCCCCAATAAAATGTGTTTTGCATATTCTCTCAATATAGAATACATCGCTTATGTAAAGGTTGTAGCAATGACGGGCAATGTTTATGGTGGAGGTCAAGAGCGTCGCTGGGGAGCAAATCCAGAACTGGAGATTGTTCTGAACAACGGCATGAGATATCGAGCAGAGATGAAAGGCGACAAGTATCGAGGTAAACGATACAAAATAGAATTGTACGTCCACAGTGACTTTACACCTCAACTCATCTGCACTCATCAAGACATTAAGGACGTTTATCTCAAGGCTCGAGGCAATGACGGATGGTACGTAGAATCGATCGACACCTACACCGCGGGAACAAATAAAAAGTACATCAAACTAACCACTGATCCAGGCTTCAGTATGTGGGTGGACGACAATGAGGAATATCTTTACCCATACAATGCCAAAAAGCACCTCCTCACCAATGCTGTCGCACAATCCTGTATCACGTACATACGTGTGGATGCAATGACGGGAGACACGGTAGGAGCTGGTTTCTCACAAAAGTACGGAAAGAACCACTTGATAGTACTGATTCTATCAAATAACGAGAAAATTCAGGCGGAACTTGAAGGCCCTATGATACGAGACACACCTTACATGCGAGAGGTACACTTTGCAAGACGGTTTCAAGCTACACAGTGCGTGTCGTTATCTGACATTAAGGAAATTCACCTACAAACTCAAAATGGAGGAGATGACGGCTGGTACATAGCATCCATTCGCACTTCTGCCAAGAGTGGTGACAGGGAGTACGAAGATCTGACAAATGATCCACACCTCAACAAGTGGCTTGATGCTAATGAAGAGTACAAGTATCCTTATGATGCAAAAGACATCAAGCTGACATGGGTAGATCAAGAAACCCTCAATTGTGAATACGGTAAACCAGCTTGTGAATGCAGGGCAGATGTAGATCTTTGTACATTTAACCTTGAAATTGACGAAATTCGAACCTTCACCAGCTATCAAAAATTATCGGTGGATGGACCTACAGGAATTGCTATGCGAGGATCCCAGGGAGTAATCTATTATTTCGATGAAGGTGGGACACCTACGCCACTACAAACAGATAGAACGTGCTCAACGCAGGACAGCACCAAATGCACTTATCCTCAGTTTGTAGATGGTAAAACGTACCGTTTAGCGATAGCTGTCAATGGACAGATTCCTGGACCTACCTTGATAGTTCACGAAGGGCAAACTGTTATAGTTCACGTTCACAACAATCTTACCATTGAGGGTATTTCAATTCACTGGCACGGGATGCACCAGAGGGGAACACCTTGGATGGATGGTGTAGGACAAGTGACTCAATGTCAGATAGAGCCTCAAACGAGCTTTTCATACATGTACACTGCTAGTCCTTCTGGGACGTTTTGGTACCATTCTCACAGTGGCGCGCAACGAACAGATGGCTTCTATGGTGCGCTTATAGTCAAAGAAAGACGTAAAAGGATGCACCAAATCCAAACTGAACTCCAAAAGCATGGTGTCCATGTTGCATTTGAAGACCTTCCAGACAAGCACACCTTAACGCTTCTAGACTGGCAACATGAGGCATCCTTGGACCTGTTCACAAAGATCCACGCCAGCTTAGGCTTTTATCCAGACAAACCAATGGGCGAGGTGCCTACTCCAGATGATGAAAGGTATGAATCCACCCGTAGTTATGAAGAAGGAGAAGTTGGACCTGTCCCGTATTTTTCTGGAATTATAAATGGGAAAGGCAGGCATGTTGATGTTCCATACATCAAGACAAGACTGAGCATATTTACTGTTGAGGCTGAAAAGACGTATCGCTTTCGCCTAGTTGGAGCCCAAGGACTATATGCTTACAAATTCTCCATTGATGGCCACAAGCTAACTGTGGTGGGTACTGACGGCTATTGGCTTGAGCCTGTAAAAGACGTCGATTACATCATAATCCATACAGGAGAGAGGTATGACTTTCTCCTTAGTGCAACCAGTACAAATGGGCCGAATGACTACTGGATGCGTGCAGAGACTCTAGAAATTGATATAAGTGGCGCCGGGCCACCCTACCAGTCACTGGGACATGTGGCAGAGGCTATTTTGCACTACAAACAGCCGGGGGACTCTGATGATCCGAATGTTAATGTACCATCAACACAATACCAAACAATCAAAGACAACTCTCCTCCCATACAGTGCACACAGAATGCCCCATGCAAAGCAGTGAACTGCCCATTTAAGAACTTTCATCCATTATATTACATCACCTGTATTAATGTTCAAAGCCTACGTTTACTTGAGCCAACTCCACCTGATGAGCTTCCAAATGCAAACACTAGAGAATATTGCCAAGATTGCAGACATTTCATCAACTTTAATTTTGAGGGCAACTCTCAAACAAGTTCAGTAAATGGGCGCAATTTCATTCTCCCGTCCTTTCCTCCTCAAATCGAACCTGAAGAGTTTGAAAAAAAGGACATAAAGTGTGATCTTAAGGCCGACTGCAATCCATCGACACTAGAGTGCTCATGTGTCCATGTCATAGACATTCCACAAGGGGAAACTATTCAACTGGTGCTTTCGGCAATTGGTGCTTACCACAACGCCCATCCAATTCATCTTCATGGCCACACATTTCATGTTGTTCATGTTGGCTATCCAAAATATAACCAGACAAGTGGTTTTGTTGGAAAACATAACAGTGACATACACTGCGATGATATTGACTGTACTAAAGAGGGCTGCGACAAAAGGAGATGTACCAGACCAAGTTGGAACGTACCAATGCACTTTTACATCGATAGCCATACGGTTAGAAAGGACACAGTTATGGTTCCTGCTGGAGGGTACGTGGTTATCAATTTCCTATCTGATAATCCTGGCTTCTGGTTTCTTCACTGCCACATAGAGGTGCACCAACTCGAGGGGATGGCAATGATTGTCAATGAGACTGATGGCAGACCGATGCCACCACCCAAAGGGATGAACAAGTGTGGAGACTTCGAGATCAGTGTCGAAACGTTTCGCTCGTACAGCTCCAGTGTGATCCATTAACTAAAAAACTGAAGGTGTTAGCATTGTCAGCAGCTACTGGACTGAAACAAAAGATAACTGGAAATAAAGGTAATTTAAAGCACTCCATAAGAGAGNTTCCTCCTCAAATCGAACCTGAAGAGTTTGAAAAAAAGGACATAAAGTGTGATCTTAAGGCCGACTGCAATCCATCGACACTAGAGTGCTCATGTGTCCATGTCATAGACATTCCACAAGAGGAAACTATTCAACTGGTGCTTTCAGCAATTGGTGTTTACCACAACGCCCATCCAATTCATCTCCATGGCCACACATTTCACGTTGTTCACGTTGGATATCCAAAATATAACCAGACAAGTGGTTTTGTTGGAAAACATAACAGTGATATACACTGCGATGATGTTGACTGTACTAAAAAGGGCTGCAACAAAGAGAGATGTACCAGACCAAGTTGGAGCGTACCAATGCACTTTTCTATCGATAGCCATACGGTCAGAAAGGACACAGTTATGGTTCCTGCTGGGGGGTACTTGGTTATCAATTTCCTATCTGATAATCCTGGTTGGTGGTTTCTTCACTGCCACATAGAGGTGCACCAACTCGAGGGGATGGCATTGATTGTCGATGAGACTGATGGCAGACCGATGCCACGACCACCCAAAGGGATGAAAAAGTGCGGAGACTTTGAGATTAGTGTCGAAACGTTTCGCTCGTACAGCTCCAGTGTGATCCATTGACTGAAAAACTGAAGGTGTTAGCATCGTCAGCAGCTACTGGACTGAAACAAAAGATAACTGGAAATAAAGGTAATTTAAAGCACTCCATAAGAGAGCGTTTGGTAACAACCCTACTTCCATTTAAAGTGTCTGTCTGGAGGGCCTTCATTTAGAGCGAACAATGTAATTGTTTTAGTAGAATTCTAACTGAAACATCCTTTACTAGAAAAAAAACGATTTCTAATTATTTGTTAACATAGTATTGAAGTTCTAGCTTTAGAAAAATCGCACGAATTGAGTTATCATTTGAAANCCTGCTGGAGGGTACGTGGTTATCAATTTCCTATCTGATAATCCTGGCTTCTGGTTTCTTCACTGCCACATAGAGGTGCACCAACTCGAGGGGATGGCAATGATTGTCAATGAGACTGATGGCAGACCGATGCCACCACCCAAAGGGATGAACAAGTGTGGAGACTTCGAGATCAGTGTCGAAACGTTTCGCTCGTACAGCTCCAGTGTGATCCATTAACTAAAAAACTGAAGGTGTTAGCATTGTCAGCAGCTACTGGACTGAAACAAAAGATAACTGGAAATAAAGGTAATTTAAAGCACTCCATAAGAGAGTGTGTGGTAACAGCCCTACTTCCATTCAAAAATTAAATTAGGGGCTCGTGTTTTCTATGAGGTGATAGTGCTTGACTGGAGGGCCTTCATCTTGAGCGAATAATCTAATTGTTTTAGTAGAATTCTAACTGAAATATCCTTTACTAGTAAAAACCGATTTCGAATTATTTGTTAACATAGTATTGAAGTTCTAGCTTTAGAAAAATCGCACGAATTGAGTTATCATTTGAAATTTGCAGCTGTGTACGTGCGCATCAGTTTTTTTCAACAATTTCGAGATTTTAACGTCAATTGCAAGAAACCGTGTAGTCTTCTAAGAAATTGAAGAATCCAGTTGTTTGTAAATTTTCCTTCGAAACGTCGTGAAAACGAGAAAACGAGAAAACGTCGCTACTCATAGAAAACCGCTAGTGTACGCTAATTAACGATTAGATTATGCATGAGCTCTCGATTTCTATCACGCATAGAAATCGAGAGCGAATAATCTAATTGTTTTAGTGTAAATCTGGTTGTCGTTCACAGCTTTAGTCCAAATCCTCTTCAAAGACACTTCGAAAACACAATGAAGCGGTCCTCGCGCACTCTGCTGGGCTACGCACTATCTAATTAACAATTAGATTATGAGCTCGAGATTTCTATCACTTACAGAAATCGAGAGCGAATAATCTAATTGTTTCAGTATAAAACTGCTAGTCGTTCAAAACTATATCTAAATCCTCCTTACAGACACCTCGAAAACGCAAAGAAACGGCCGCCAGTTTGTTAACAAGCTACTGCTACGCTACTCTCAATCTACAACAGAATAGATAGTGAGTAGCGTAGCCAATCAGAGAACGCTATCCTGGATTGAACGCTAGTAGATTTATACTAAAACTCGATAGAAACACGGAAAATGTATTCTATTTCTTAGAGAAAATATTGATCGCAGCTACTGGCTTCTGGACTGTGTTTGCTTGCTGATTGTAACCATGGTAACTAAAAATGTTCTCAGGGTGGGTGACGTACGTATGTAGTACGTTTGCAAGACACTTTCTCAGATATTTCAGAGAACTTGTAATGGTACGTGTAAGTAATGTCGAGCAAGGATCGATAAGGACGTGAACTCGATGACGGCGTGAAACATTGTCAGGTGTTTCGTACCATTTTTATCGTTTAAAGAAGTACGCAATGCAGAGTAACTGAGATTGGAACTTTTAAATTTCCTTGTGGCAAGTTTTTAGAAAAGAGATTTTACTTAGTAACGTTATAGAGAGCCATTTATGTAAGTAGGGTGTCATCAATGCAATACCTGAAGGCAGAATGCCAGGGGGGTTTCATTCATGAGGGCATGAGGGTGAAGGGTGGGAGGGGATGGGGGGAAATTCCGTTAGTGTGTCACACTTCAAAATATATCGAGCTCTTTAGCGACCCTAAGGCTTTCCTGATAGTGTGATAACCACTCTACCTAACTTTCCAAAACAACAACCCCGCCCCATGCCCTTTTAAACATCGTCCCCTTATAACCTGAAGCATGAAAGTGTTAAATCTGTGCATTGTTATTTCTCTGTTTAATGTGGAAAATATTGTATGTAATATGAAAAAGCCAATCAGTTAGGGCCATAGGCTTGGTAATAGGATTAATGGCATTGATGCGCAGGTTTTTCTGAGTTTTTAAATTTCTGAAAACCGCAATTACATCTGGTGCTTAGTATTTGGTATGCAGTATTTTAGAATAATCATTAGATTTTGACACGTTTTATTGATTTCTAGCTAGGGTGTTGTTGATTACAAGTACGCGTGTTAGTAACACTGATACTGGTAATCAAAACATTTAGAGCGGTTTACAGTTGAGTATCGTAAAACCAAAGTAATAACTCTGGACATTCACAAATTATTAAGCCGGTCCAATGAACCAATCAAACTCTATGAAGGACATACGTGTAGCTGGCGCAAAGTGTGGGAAAACGTGTGTAAGCGCGTCCGCCTGGGTTTTGGTTTTACCTCTGATTGGATGAAAAAGTGGCCCGAGTTTTATGAATCAATCGCGCAGTGTTCTACAACAAAACCAAACAAACGCAAACTATCACGCAAAGCCACAATCCTGGACATACTAATAGCCGACGGATGTTCATTGTTTAGTAGGTAGTAATTTGGTAAGAATTCTTAATCCATTTCTTATGAGATTACTACTCAAATTTGGGTGAGCCTTTAACATCCATATTGGTATACCAATGATTGTTTTGGTTATTTTATTTTTAATACTAATAAAGACTGTTTAGGTCATTCTACATTTTTTGTATCGATGGTATAGAATAGTTTTAGGCAGAGCTCCTTAAAAGGCAGCCTTTGCTGAAATGTATCACCTACTGTTGAAGTAACGATGACTATTACTACATTTATACCCTAAGAACAATCAAAATACCAAGCAGTTAAAAGCAATAGACTCATAAACGTAATAGTACCGTAGAATTCCGAAAGTAACGCCCCCCNGTAACGGTCCCCCGAAAGAAGCGGCCCACCAGATAGTAGTGGCCCTTTGAAGAAGTCACTAAAAGAGAAATTCTCTGTTCTCAAGGGCGGGTCATGCGGATGGAACAGCCTGAATGCAGGGCTGAACATTGACTGGAAGAGTTTTCGATCTGCGATTTTATTTGGAACTTGACTGAATTTTTCTCGAAACTATGATTTATCAGCTGTATTCGTCTAGCAGCAGAGTCAAATGATAAGGCGTGGGATAATCAGTTATATAGCAATAAAATGTGACCATTATGCTTTCGCCCCACAGTACCAACCAGATTAGGGCCTATTTTTGTTTATACAGTCTGCTTCGTTTGTGTTGGTAGCTCCAAACATACATAAACGGAACGTTTGATTTCTTGTTTTACGCGTCCGCTTTGTCTGAAACCACTGTTACCATCCGAAAGTAACGGCCACCCGAAAGTAGCGGCCCCTTTTGCCTGCCAAGTCCGAAAGTAACGTAGGCCGTTACATTTGGAATTCTATGGTATTTGATATGAAGTATTTGATGACAATGGTTATCGCCTGCGGGATTTGTTATATTCATTTATTTCTATTTGATAATCTTCGATGTTATCTAAAAACATTTTATTAGAGTGCTCTTGACAAAAGGGCCATGTGTGACCAACTAGAAAAATAGACTACATCAATAAAGTGATTGATAGATAAACTGATCGTGACCTTTATCGTGTTCCATTTGTTTGGAGTGATGTATGGAGGAGAAGTTCACCCCACCCCGACAACTCCGCATTCCTTATTATAATTACACCAATTATAAGTAAACAGATAGACTACGAGTAGTCTCTCTTTCGACAAGTCCGTCATGCGTGACGCTAGAACAACAACAACAACAACAAAAATGCGAGAAAAATCCTGGGGCAAGGAGCGCGCGAAATTTCGCGCGCTCCTAGCTCGTCCCTGGGATTTCGCGCGGCTATTTTTTCGCGCGGTCTTCTTTCGCGTCACGCACGACGGACTAAGCGAGAGTGGCTACCCGTAGTCTAGTAAACCGAATATAAATTTAGGTTTATATGTTTACATGCAGTCTGGACATTTTGACAGCGTTAATGGTTGGACATAGTCAATTGACAAAACCACTTAAAAATGCTCATTTGATGTTTCCTATATTGCCTTTGCCTTGTGTTCCCAAGTGATTTCTTGCAAGTAGGTAAAAAGGGGTGATAACCGCTGTTGGGAGTAAAGGAAAACCGAACAAAAACTAAATGAAACTCCATGCGGGAAGGGAATGGAGGGAACCGACATGAAGGCCAAGTGACTCCAATGTTCATTTTCCTTTATCATTTATTCATTATCAAGAGAGAGAAGTCGCTTCTAAAAAGCATTGTCATTAAACATAGATGTTGCTACCCCTGATGTTTCAATATCATTTCCTTTTTCTATTTTACATTTCTACAGGATTAAATGACTTTAAATTTTCGTTTTAAAATCAGTTTAAGACTGCCACAAGAAAGAAAGACGAGAATTACATCATTTTATTATATCTCTCAGTTACTATGCGTGCTGTTTTTGGCTGGAAAAACAATATAAAGCTGTTTTTTTTTTTTTTTGCCAAAATGTCTCATGATTTATCACCAAGTGTTCTTAGCTTTTATAGCTAGTAAAAATTTAACACTTTCTTTTACTTTAAATTGTGTATTAAAATGACTTAACAAAGATTTCAAACTGACTTGTTTTGCTTTCGACGTGCTTCAGAAATTTGAAGCCGTTCCACGTGAATAGAAATTGTTCCCGAGCCCGTCAGACACACAGTGGAGATATAATAAATATCTACGTAACCTCGTCCTCTCGGTCCGCACTGTAAGTTACAGATCCTCGTTTACTGCCCATCGATTCATGGCCCGCTCGCTTCGCGCTTGGGCCATTAATCGAAGGGAAAAAAACTCGGTCCGTAAATCACAGTACGGACCGCTAACTCGGTTAGTAAGAGGCATTTATTTTATGGCTAGCACCGTGAGCGGGCAAGATGAATCAAATCCTGCGCTGTGATTGGCTACCCGAGCGGGCAAGATGGAGCCATCTTGCCCGCTCGGGACTACCCGCCGT